TGGGCGGATGAATGGCATATAGGCGGATCGAAGTGGTTATGACGCGCATCAAAACTAACTTCTTGAATACTCTGGTAACAATCCGCTATCTTTTCCCTAAATTCTCAAGTGACAGCGTAGAAGTGTCTTAACCCTCCCGACAATATTCCTGCACAAATGTTTTGGAATGGTTTTTTTTTCAGAATAAAAAAATGTAGAAGCTGACGCTACAGATTTTCAGCTTATGACTTACAGATCAACTTCTTCATGTGCCCATTCTTGTTTAAAAAAATGAAGCACTGTCAGGAAAGTGAGCTTCTTACAAAGATAACGCAAAAATTAAAACAAAAACATTGGAAAAGGTTATCAAATGCAAAAGTCACCTCCAAAAAGGATTTGTGATAAAAAGCGTGATGTAAAGAAAATCAAAGTGGCGAATAAAAAGATCGAGGCAGATTTGATATCTACAATAATGAATGTATAATAGTGATTGTTGTCTTATAAACGTTCTAAACTGATGGGTCTGCACCTATAAAGCTAGATCTCCACGCCCAATCATAAATTGAAAGTGTATGGTCCATATATTGAGCACAGGAAGATCCAAAAAAGCAAAGTCAGACGTTGAGATTTTGAAAATTACTAAGGTGACTATGTAGAATATGAAAAGGCGAGCAAAAAAGAAACGAAGGTCAACCGGACTAAAATAAAGTGCAGAACCGTGGTTTTTACCACATCTAGACATCCCTTTGATCAAAAACATCTTAACTGCATTCATCGTTCACCAAAGGAGAGTTCGCTTCACGCTGAAGTACTCCTCAACTAAAACACGTTCACGAACTAGTCGAGCAAACAAAGGATGGTGATCGAGCAAACACGTAACCCCATGCAAACTACTGTAGCAGAATTTATCACTAACATCCATGCGGTAGCCATATTAGGGCGATAGAAAGATGATGTAAAAAAGAAGCACTTTTGAATCTAGAAAAGCTATTTGGAAGCTAAGCGTTTCGCAGTTGGTAAAAAAAGAACTTTGATATTTTTCTAAATCTAATTTGCTCACCTCCATAGATTTTGGTTGTTGACTCAGAGCTTGCGTTGGTTGCTTAGTCGAAACCAAAGTATGTTGCACCTGTTGTGGTGGTACAGACGGCGGAGGACTGGATGTTTCCGCTGGTCCCGGGTTTTGTGGCACTTGTTGTGGCTGTTGCTGTTGTTGTTGTTGCTGTTGCTGCTGCTGGTAATAGAAGGTCTGAATGAAATGTTTCGAAAGTTGCAGCGAAAAACAAGGTTTTTACTTGATTAGCGCTCGCTTCTTGTGCAGGTATCGAATTGTAAGTCTTGACATGGGCTAGAAGAAGTCAAAGATGAGAAAAAATGCCGAGAAGCTTGAAAATATGAAACCTTCATGCTGTTGCTGTTGTTGATAGGGATATACAACATTTTGAACTCCTCCCTGCTGAAAGCCACCCATTACAGCCGCTGCATAAGGATCAGACATGGAAGAACCAGTCGAATGATTTGCATCCTAGACAAACTAGACATAAAGATACGGTAGCCAAGAGAGAGTGAGGATATGACACACCACATGCGGACCAACATGCTGACCCCAATGGTAATTCTGCTGTTGATATGGAGCATTTCCTAAGTTAATATAGTCCCAATTTGCAGGCTGATTGTTCTGTTGAGCAGCAGCTGTAGGCGTTGCGCCCAATCCAGAATGATTTACATTCTAAAACGCCAAAAATGGGGTAACTATACGGGTAAGAGGGTAACCAAGACCTTACCTGCGAAGTGGGTGAATTCGAAAGTACACGCTCCCAGTAGAGCGACATACACTGAAGTCAACCCAGCTAAAGGAAGGGATAAACTTAAAGATAACAAATTCTTTAGAAACGATTATGACAATATCAGAGTAGGAAAAAAATGCGCAAATAAAAGAATGATTGAGAGCTTGATCAAGTAAAAATTACCCAAATGAATGCGATTCTTGAGAAAAAATGTGCTTGAAGGTCCCTGAATGACCTAAAAAATCCTCGTCAACAAAAAATGAAAAAAATTGCACATGACAAAACACGAAGATAACTTTTGTGACATGTGAAGGAAACTAAAAATGCTCGACTGAATTTGTAGAAAAAACTTTACAGGTGAAAAAAGCTAGCACTGTCTTAGGAAAAAACATAACTATGAATAAACTTGAAATCATTTACGCCATTGCCGTTAATACGATAATATATCGATCAAAACGAAACCAGGGGTGGCCAGCGATAAACGATAAGAGTAAGCGTCGACAGCAAGAAGACTTAATGACAGCAGCGATGCTCAACTGTAGAGAACTTCAAACTATTTAGTAAAAATACCCACTGTCGTTTGTCAAGTCAGCATTTATCTGACCTGTAAACTTCGCTCGCATGTTAGCATCTTTTCATGTGGCATCCACATGAATTGAGCCAACATGCGAGCGAAGTTTATC